GTACTATATCTCTTAAGAACGTACTTTGAACTGTGTTGTCCTTTCCAAAAAGCTTGTTAAGTATGCTGAATGCCCGAAAATGATGTCTTTCTTGAGCCCGATATGGGACTCGAACCCATGGCCCTCAGATTAAAAGTCTGATGCTCTACCAACTGAGCTAACCGGGCAGCACGGAAGTTGGGAATCTCATGCGTCAATAAGTGTTAATAATATAAGTTAATGTTATGCGAAAAATAGAACTGAACGCATGCATGTGACGTCATATCGTATGACAAAGTACTTTGAACTTTCAGGTCACGCCATCACTTTGCATATGGCTGTTTTTACATAGAAGGTTTTACTGTTCACGTTGTTGATATTAAAATGTAGTTTATAACTCAAATTCCGATGGTTCGCCGATCAATATTCAATAATTCTAATAGGTTATGGGCCCAGGAACGGCAATTCGGATTTAAAGGAGTTTAATATGGAAGAAATATCGCGAAATCAACACATTTTGGGCTTGTGTATTTACGAAAAGTTGTATTAATGGCGGTCTCGGGAAATGACGAACATGCATCGATGTTACGTATCGAAAAGTTTAGCGGAGAGAACTTTCACCTTTGGAAATTTAAAATGCAAATGGTCCTTGAAGATAAGGATCTTTGGGGCATTGGCGATGAGGTAGAACCTACAGACGAAGGAACTACTGAAACTCAGCGTCGGCAATTTCAAAGGCGGGAAAGAAAAGCGTTCGCTACGATTTGTTTATCTTTGGGAGATGAACAGTTGTCTTTGGTTCGCTCAGCTACAACAGCAAAGGATGCATGGTCAAAATTGGAAGGCCATTATGAAGTGAAGTCCTTGGCAAATAAATTATTCGTGCGTAAAAAGTATTTTACTATGTCTATGGGGGTTGACGAGTCAATGAGTGAACACATCAACAAGATGAAAGAGCTAGCAGGTCAATTGGAAGCTGTTGGTGCCTCGATCACAGAAGAGGACCAAGTTGCAACGCTATTGTGTAGTCTACCTGATTCATATGATAGTTTAATTACAGCTTTAGAATCCCGTGCTGGTGATTTATCTTTGGAATTTGTTACTGCAAGGTTACTTCATGAGGAACACAAGCGAAAAGAGACAATACCAACCTCTGATTGTGGAGAGAAAGCTCTGTTATCAACAAAGTATGATCAAGTAAATCTAAGAAACCCGAAACCTAAGAGAAAGGGTAAATGTCATAACTGCGGAATACCAGGACATTGGGCAAGAGAATGCCGTAAACCGAAGAGGGGCGGATCGGGTGAAGTAAAAGGAAAGAAAGACAGTTCATCGTACAGTGCAACTACAGAACATGCATCATTTTGGTCATCAAAACATGTGAATTGCAAGGATTCAACATGGTACATTGACTCGGGTGCTTCACAGCACATGTCATATGATAAGGAAATGATGGTTGATTATGTTCATTTTGTAAACCCACAAAGAGTTCGTTTGGGTGATAATCGAGTAGTCGAAGCATTGGGAAAAGGAACAGTCTGGCTTAATATTAAAGCTGAAAATGATTATAAACCGGCTAGATTGGTTGACGTCCTATATGTTCCAGATTTAGCAAAGAATCTCTTCTCGGTAAGCGTTGTTGCTAAGCGAGGATATTCAGTTGAGCTTCAACAGAGTGGCTGTGTTATTCTTGACAAATGTGGAACTATTTTGGGATCTGGTAAAATGCAAAACAATCTATATGTCCTTGATATCAGTGAAAAGAAAGTGGACTGTCATGATGTTAATGCTGCTACCAATGAGCATCTGGAGGATTTATGGCATCAAAGATATGGGCATTTGAGTATGAAGAATTTACGATTGTTGCGAGATCAGAAGTTAGTGACTGGATTGGACTTCCAATCTACTAAAGAATCTGACTTTTGTGAGGGTTGTGCACAAGGTAAACAAAAGAGAGCACCATTTCCTAAAGAACAAGCAACTCGAGCCAGTGAAATTCTCGGAATTATTCACAGTGATGTTTGTGGACCAATGCAAGAGAACAGTCTCGGTGGTAATAAATACTTTGTGACTTTTATTGATGATAAATCGAGATTCACAGCAGTTTATTTCATGAAAACCAAGGATCAAGTACTTGATAAATTTAAAGAATACGAAGCAATGGTCACTAATATCACAGGAAAGAAAATCAAGATTCTTCGATCCGATAATGGCGGTGAGTACACCTCTAAAGAATTTGTTAATTACCTTAAAGAGAAGGGAATCCAGCACCAACTTAGTGTACCTAGAACTCCCCAGCAGAATGGAGTGGCAGAAAGGATGAATAGAACTATTCAGGAAACTGCACGATCTATGATACATAATGCTGGACTGGATACAAAGTTTTGGGCTGAAGCAGTATGCACAGCAGTGATTGTTAGAAATCGTTGTCCTACAGTAGCAGTGGACAATATGACCCCATATGAATGCTTTAATGATAAGAAACCGGACGTGTCCAATTTTAAAGTGTTCGGATGCAAAGCGTACATGCATGTTCTAAAGAAACCAGAAAGAAGTGGGATTCGAAGACCAAGAAATGTATATTTGTTGGATATAGTATTTCAAGTAAAGGGATATAGACTTTATGATCCTAAGACTCGGAAATTACACATATCCAGGGATGTTTTATTTGATGAAGATGAATTTATTCAACAGAAGAAATTTATGCAAATTGTAAACTTAAATGATTCCCTCCCTGAAGACCAACAAGAACCACAAGAGAACAAACCATCTTCCGAGCATGTTATTCCAGGAGATCAAGACACAGTTGATCATGATGAAGGTACTGAAGAACCGAGCATCAGTAGAGAAACCGAAGTGGAACAGCAACCACGACGTTCAACGCGCATACGAGAACCACCAGACAGACATGGTGTAGTAATTACTGGCAATTGGTGGCAAAATAATGTTGCGTGTATTAATAGTGAGTTCAGTCCAGAAGAGCCTACAACTATAAGGGAAGCTCTAAATTGTTCAGATAAAGAACAATGGAAACAAGCTCTGGACAATGAATATTCAGCTCATATTAAGAACAATACATGGACATTAGGGAATCTGCCTGAGGGTCGTAAAGCTATTGATTGTCGATGGGTATTTAAAGTTAAATACAATGCGGATGGGTCTGTAGAGCGCCACAAAGCTCGTTTAGTTGCGAAAGGATACTCACAAGAACCTGGATTAGATTATGATGAAACCTTTTCCCCTGTAGCGAAGTATACATCTATTCGTTCACTATTGGCAATTGCTAAGCAGTTAGATTTAGAAGTACATCAAATGGACGTTTCTACGGCGTTCTTGAACGGTGAATTGGAAGAAGAAATATACATGAAGCAACCAGAAGGATACGTGAAAGAAGGTGAGGAAGATTTAGTTTGCAAATTAAACAAGAGTATCTACGGCTTGAAGCAGTCATCAAGGTGTTGGTACAACACGATCGATCAATTCTTAAAGAATTCCGGCTATGTACAATCAAGCTCGGATCCTTGTATGTACATTAAGCGAGAGGGAGATGATATCATGCTCATAGCCTTGTACGTCGATGACTTGATACCAGCTAGTAATAGTAAGAGAATGCTTCATAAAGAGAAAGAAGCATTGAGAAAACGTTTCGAAATGAAATATCTCGGTGAAGTTCATTATTGCCTTGGTATTCAAGTAGAACGAGATAGAAACAAGAAACGAATGACCCTGAGATTAAAAGTCTGATGCTCTACCAACTGAGCTAACGGGGCAGCACGGAAGTTGGGAATCTCATGCGTCAATAAGATCGTAATCTTCTTAGTAATTGCCTTCGTACGTATCATTAAAAAAAAATTAAATAATTTAGGAAAGTCGTTTTGCCGAAACCCGGGATCTTCAGTCTGACGCTCTCCCATCTGAGCTATTTCGGCAGGTTCTCTACCTCTTAAGAAGGTACTTCCACGTGTGTTGTCCTTTCCAAATAGCTTGTTAAGTTTGCACAACCACCGAAAATAATAATGCAGTCTTTCTTGAGCCCGATATGGGACTCGAACCCATGGCCCTCAGATTAAAAGTCTGATGCTCTACCAACTGAGCTAACCGGGCAGCACGGAGGTTGGGAATCTCATGCGCCAATAAGATCGTAATCTTCTTAGTAATTATCTTAGTATCATTAAAAAAAAGTCAGATAATTTAGGAAAGTCCTTTTAGCGAAACGCGGGGTTGAACCAGGGACCTTCAGATCTTCAGTCTGACGCTCTCCCTTCTGAGCTATTTCGGCAGGTACTATATCTCTTAAGAACGTACTTCGAAGTGTGTTGTCCTTTCCAAATAGCTTGCTAAATTTGCACAACCCCCGAAAATGATAATGCCGTCTTTCTTGAGCCCGATATGGGACTCGAAACCATGCCCCTCAACATGGGAAGTCTGATGCTCTACCAACTAAGCTAACCGGGCAGCACGAAGGTTGGGAATATCATCCGTCAATAAGATTGTGAACTTCGCAGTAATTATCTTCGTATCATTAAAAAAAAATTCAGGTAATTTAGGAAAGTCGTTTTGCCGAAATCCGGGATTGAACCAGGGACATTCAGATCTTCAGTCTGACGCTCTCTCATCTGAGCTATTTCGGCAGGTACTATATCTCTTAAGAACGTACTTCGAAGTGTGTTGTCCATTCCAAATAGGTTGCTAAATTTGCACAACCCCCGAAAATGATAATGCAGACTTACTTGAGCCCGATATGGGACTGGAAACCATGCCCCTCACGTTAAAAGTCTGATGCTCTACCAACTGAGCTAACCGGGCAGCACGGAGGTTGGGAATCTCATGCGTCAATAAGAACGTAAACTTCTTAGTAATTATCTTAGTATCATTAAAAAAAAGTCAGGAAAAAAGCCGGTTTACCGAAACATTGGATTGAACCAGGGACCGTCAGATCTTCAGTCTGACGCTCTCCCATCTGAGCTATTTCGGCAGGTACTAAAACTCTTAAGAACGTACTTCGAAATGTGTTTTTCTTTTCCAAATAGCTTGTTAAATTTGCAGAATCCCCGAAAATGATAATCAGTGCAGACTTTGTTGAGCCCGATATGGGACTCGAACCCATGGCCCTCAGATTAAAAGTCTGATGCTCTACCAACTGAGCTAACGGGCCGCACGGAGGTTGGGAATCGCATGCGTCAATAAGATTGTAAACGTCTTAGTAATTATCTTAGTATCATTAAAAAAAAGTCAGATAATTTAGGAAAGTCGTTTTGCCGAAACCCAGGATTGAACCAGGGACCTTCAGATCTTCAGTCTGACGCTCTCCCATCTGAGCTATTTCGGCAGGTACTACATCTCTTAAGAACGTACTTCGAAGTGTGTTGCCTTTCCAAATACCTTGTTAAGTTTGCTGAATCCCGAAAATGATATCTTTCTTGAGCCCGATATGGGACTCGAACCCATGGCCCTCACATTAAAGTCTGATGCTCTACCAACTGAGCTAACCGGGCAGCACGGAGGTTGAGAATCTCGTTCGTCAATAAGATCGTGATATTCTTAGTAATTACCTTAGTATCATTAAAAAAAAGTCAGATAATTTAGGAAAGTGGTTTTGCCGAAATCCGGGATTGAACCGGGGACCTTCAGATCTTCAGTCTGACGCTCTTTCATCTGAGCTTTTTCGGCAGGTACTGTAACTCTTAAGAGCGTACTTCGAAGTGTGTTGTCCATTCCAAATAGGTTGTTAAATTTCCAGAATCCCTGAAAATGATAATGCAGACTTTTTTAGCCCGATATGTGACTCGAACCCATGGCCCTCAGATTAAAAGTCTGATGCTGTACCAACTGAGCTAACGGGCAGTACGGAGGTTGGGAATCTCATGCGCCAATAAAATCGTAATCTTCTTAGTAACTATCTTAATTTCATTAAAAACAAAGTCAGATAATTTAGCAAAGTCTTTTTGCCGAAACCCGGGATTGAAACAGGGACCTTCAGATCTTCAGTCTGACGCTCACCCTTCTGAGCTATTTGAGCAGGTACTATAACTCTTAAGAACGTACTTCGAAGTGTGTTGTCCTTTCCAAATAGCTTGTTAAATTTGCACAACACCCGAAAATGATAATGCAGTCTTTCTTTAGCCCGATATGGGACTCGATCCCATGGCCATCAGATTAAAAGTCTGATGCTCTAGTCATATTCAGGTCCTAGACTAAACAGAGGAAACTGCTTTGTTGTTATTTTTTTCAGATACAATGACGGACATGAATACTGGAGAACACTAAAAGAAATTCCGAAGACCAGTATCAAAAGGAAGGAGGGAGTTAGGTTTTAACCTCCAAAAGCGTTGCTGTAGCATGGGGTGGAGAACACGTTCCAGATTTTCCCAAAGGGTTTTTTTGGTTTTCGTGTCCGTCTTAGCAACATGGTGTTCCATCGTTTGGTTACATACATATGTGGTATGTGCTTTATTTTTATGTAAAACTGTGTACTGTACATTATCCACTCTAAATTTGCCACATTAAAATATGTGATAAAATGTATGGTATATCTAATTCTACTATAGAGTGGGTGGAACAAAAAAAAGACGTTGGAGTTTCTTCAGAAAAGAATGCTGATGTTGGCGCACGACGAACGATCTATTGACTATAAGCATTTGACGTTGTAATTAGCACTAATAAATGCAATAGAACCTAATAGAAAGAAAACGATCTTTAAAATTGTAATTGAGTAACACATGGTACATGTTAATTAAATGATTTTGAAATTTTTAAAATAATTTTGTCTTTTTTGTTAATTTCCCCAAATAAACAGGAATTTTCTTGTCTAATTATTTGATGATTGGAGTAGTTTTGAAAAAAAAAGTTCAAAATTTTACTTATAGCCCCACTAACCCCCCAAAACCAGCCCCACCAAGTCATGTTTGCACAGCGGATGTTTACGGAACTTCATGTAAGAACGAGTGTGAGCCCGCGAAAATCGCCATTTATAGTGTTTATTACACCAAGCATCCTGAACAAAAATGGCGGCGATCGATTGCGAAAGATGTTGATTTATTGAATTTTCGAAGAAGTACTCGAAAACTGCAGGTTTTGGGAAGTGCAAACAAGCGGATTTGGACTTTGTATGTTTTATCCTAATTATTTATCTTGTTTGAAAGTAGTGTCCGAACCCGGGCAACGGAATTCATTTTCTAAGCGACTTTTCGTGCCACAGAATACGGCCTATTATTGTATTAATAGCCATCGTCGTCAATTTACGGCCGTTGACAACAGCGCGTTTGCGGACAATACTAAACGTCCAAGCAAGAAAAGCACTGCCAGCAGATTGCAATTTTTCAAGGTTAATTTTTGTGAACGGATGATATTCTTTGAAATTTATAAAACTACGAATATGGACCTAAAATTAACAGTCAGATATAGAAAAATTTGAGAAGCTCTCTATTCAGTGTCTAAGCGCAACCTGCATGTGCTTTATAATACTGCCGATTAGAATTTGTAAAATGTAGTCTGAAATGTTTGTTGTTTGTCGTTATGTCCTTCACGCAGGAAAAGCAAGATGTGACGTAAAGAACACTATATTATTTGTTGCATTCGATTTTGAAGAATGGACTGATGAGTGCAATGACATAGCGTGTGGTAGCAATCGGTATGTGAAAAACATCACCAGTTACCTTAGCAAATCAGGGGGCACAATCAGTGGTGCCATTATATTAGAAACAGTGCTCAATCATAATTCTTCAGCAGGTATGTGCTCTAAGTTGTTAGAAAATAATACGATACCAATTTTTTATCGCCTCATTTATTCAAAGAATCGTTCAAACAAATTTATGTCACACTTCGCATATTTGCGGGGCTCAGATTTGACTACCGCTACCCCTCACAAGCTTAACGCGCAATTGATTGGTTAATACCGTTAATTAGATAGAATAAATGCGTGTATGTTTATGTGCCTGTTTTTATGCAACAAAACCATTTGAAAAACTCTATACCGGCGTACGCACCTTGTGTGCTCAAGAGAAAATACTTAGAATACATTAGTTGAATACCATGCATGGTTAAACATCTCATGCATGATCAAGGTTGTTATGCAGCCATGTTTTCAAGTATACTGTACTTTAAAAGCAAATTTACTGTACTGTGAAACACAGATATTTAACTCATTATGCAAAGTGTGATGTAAGTGTGTTTGCATATCGAGAAAACTCGAAAAAACTTATCTCACGCACTGGGAAGAAGCGTAAACGAAACTATGTTAAAGAAGTTTCTAGTTACAGTCAGTTAGACTGCGTCTTTCAAATGGTACAATAAAAAATTGCGTCATGCCGTTTTATATTTGAGATTTTTGCTCCACATCCTGAGAGTCCTCGACCTTAATCCTCGTCCTTAATCCACCATTAATCCACCCTTAATCCACTTAGGGTGGCTCGATATAGGTATCAAACACTGCTGAAGAATCGCGAACGAAACCGGATGACTATTTTTACGCGCAGGTCGCGGAAATTGATTAACAAAATGAAAGAACTTCCAAAATGACTTGACGAGTTAATTGACGTGCGCAGTTGCTCGCCATCTTACGTTATTGCGCGTGTTCTATAGCATTTTATGTCAATTGCTGACGTCATTAGAATTTTCCATTTTAGAAAAACAATGCGCTATATCTCTCTATTTTGTCTGGTGAGCAATGTTTAAATTTTACATGGTGTGTTGCACCGCTACAATCTTTCATTATACAAAAAATAAAAAATTCTGTAATGTCAAAAACATTTTACCGAAGAATACGACATTTTCGCATTTTCAAAAAAAATGCCAATGCCCATTACAAATTTTTTTATATTTTGCTAATAAAATAATGCACGAAAAGATTTGGGGTCACCATGTTTCTTTAGTAGCTATACGAGGCGACAGACCATTTAGGAGTGAATTTCGTACATGTACGTCGTCATAGCAACGTCAACGAACTATCTGTTAATTACTACTGTAAAACTAATATAATCAGTTGAAAGTAAAGATATCAAAATATATAAAAAAAAACCCCTAGCAATATCTGCTGAATAAATCCTAGAAATGCGTAGTTTGAACATGTACATGTCAAAGTGTTGAACACCTGAATTTTTGAAAACTGCGTCGAGCCACCTTAACTCAATGTCTCAATCCTTAAATATCAGGCTGCATTGGAAATGATACAATGGATATCGAAAACACTGTAGTTCACACTAGCAATTTTATCGACAGTTCTCTCTTTTTATCGATTGCAAAGGATTAAATGGCATATACTAACCTATGATAATGTCACCACGGTGGTGCCCATGCAGCTTCTTCCGCAGGCAACTTTTCTATAGTGGGAATAAAAATTTTGCCCCCCCCCCCCCACAGAGCTCCCATTTCCAAAGGTTGCCTGCGGAGGAGGTTAAGCAATACTACGTTCCTGTGTCAGGAGAAGAAAAAGCACTTATGAAATTAACAGCTAGTGTGAAAAGACTAATGACAAATATCCCATGAAATATTTCTTGAGTAATATGTAGCTATATTTATAGCCAATTATATTCTTATAGGTTCTCCCCATTTTTCCCTTCAGCAAGGCTATAGACAAAAGGAATGGATATTTTCTTTCATTTTCACTAGAGTCTGAGAAATTACCACATGGTTTTGACAAGCTTTTACCTGACGTTTATAACGAAGTGAAGAATGACTCTATGCGAGGAAATTTTCTGGCAGTAACTGGAAGGAAAGAGTCGGATAGAAAACTTCTTTCTTTAATGGCAAAGCATTTTCAGAAAGGTATATATAATTACTGTAAATGTATGGCCATGATTAGGTGATGCAAATTAAGGCTGTACAGAATTAGTTGTTTCCAAAGGTATTCTTCATGAAGTTTCCAAACGCTGAATATATTCTATATTTATTATGTGAACTACCTTCGATATATACCACAAGGTTTTTGTTATACCTCACTGGTATCTCAATGACTAATCAACCGACTAAATTACGCGGTACCGATTTTGAATACAGCGAATTGTGACAGCAAGAGTCGCGCGTACCTATACGTAGCATGCATGCATGCATAGTATAGTACGTGCATGAAAACAAATTGACGTATTTCCAGTACGTGTATGTAAGTACGCGAATTATCGCGTATAGACATACACTGTGTCCCAAAAATGGATTCACTGTACATTTTGTAGTATTTACTATACGTGAGTTTTAAATTTCAGCCGTTTAATAACTTTACATATTAATCCGTTGTTATTTCACTGATCAAAATAACCAACCGTTTACCTTCTAGAATTACTTATATGTTATACAGGCGGTATAAAAAAACTGAACAGATTTGAAATTGCTCTCAATTTCGCAAAACAGCTCGTGGTATCACGTGTTTGTTACACTTACATATAGATTCCTTGAGAACCCGTAGTGTAGAATAATGAAAAAATTACTCGAACTCAAATTGTGTAAACCACAGGGTGTTTCTTTTCCAACAAACTAAAAATGGTTTAATCTATTTTGGGTTACTGGATGGAATTACTGTACAAAGTTCAGACAATTTGCTTTAGTTTAAGCTCTTTAACTATCTATTTCCCCCTAAAAAATCAGCCTTTCGCACAGGTTGCCTTTCGCAAGCTTAATTAATGCCTTTGCCTAATTTGCATATTGCTGACATATGCAAATTAGGCAAAGGCATTAATTAAGAATGCAAAAGGTTGATTTTGTAGGGGAAAATGTTTGCGTGAATAGTTAAAGCTTAGCCTTAAACTGAAAAATTGTATGGATTTTCGTGCAGCTATTAAACACTCAACACATTTTTCACCCATTAACTCAAAATACGATTAAAGCTTTTAAATTTCGTGCGCAAGCCATTTTTAGTTTGTTGGAAAAGACACCACCCCCCTTGGTTTACAACATTTGAGTTTTTTTTATCAGATATACAACAAGTTTACAACATTTGAGTTTTTTTATCAGTTTTTTTATCAGATATATATATATATATATATATATATATATATATATATATATATATATATATATATATATATATATATATATATATATATATATATATATATATATATATATATATCAAAAACTGGGTACTATAATAGCTGTTTTGCGAAATTGAGCTAGAGCAATTTCAAATCTGCATGTTCAGTTTTTTTTTCATACACCCTGTATATATCGACTTTTGTAGACTACGTACGCCGGAAATTAGCTTTGCAGTATTAAAATCCATTTAGGAGGGATTTTTAAAGGGATTAATGTCTTCTTATCTTTTCTAAAACTGATGAATTGTTCTCTCTCTTTCTATCATCAAGATTTCGTTGTTGTTAGAATTAGTAAAAATAAGGCAGAACGAACCCTCTTATTTTGTTCACTAAAATATACTAATATACTAGATTGACATAGTTATTGAATCTAGTATAAAAACCTGAATGAGAATCACTTACGTGAAATCTTGTAATGTAGCTAACACAAAGTATAGTAGGACTATTTTTTCGGGACACAGTGTATGTAGGGTTGTGCTCTCGTTGCTAACTTGCAAGTTTTCAAGTAACTTGTCACCCAGGCACTTAATAGTTGTTCATGATTTACCTATAGCATACAGTATTCTTCCTGCAATATCAGGATTCCAGACGTTTCACCGTAACACTCCTGTTGACTCCTATATATCATTTCTACAGATTCAGATTATCGTACGCAGTTAATAGAGGTTCCTATCAATGGACAACCAAGTTTAAATCCGGGTTACAAATACTTTGATGATCTGTATCGCAGTGATCACTACTCATTCTGGGAAGCAAATGCTTCGTACAGTGCCCTGATGTTGACAGATACAGCAGACTTCAGAGGTTACATGCAGCGCTGTTATCACAAAGAATGTGATAATCTCAGTCTTGTTAAGGAAGATGATCTGGAGTTCTTGCGAAGATCAATAAATGCTGTCATCAAAACCGTTCTAGATCTCAGCGAAGTAGGTAAGTTGAAGGATGAGTAAACTGCTCAATAATTTGTCAATATTAACGGCCACAAACTTTCACTTTGATGATAAAAGCGCTCGGCATAAGTTAAAATGCATCAATACTCGCTATATCCAATGCAACATGATCGCTCATGTTGTATTGTTGTGTCTTGCTGTATTTTGCAAACCTGGTTTAAAAGCTGTTTTAGTTTTAATTTTTGATGGTGAAAGTCGGAATTATTCAATTAATTCACTATATCTATTAATGTTGGTAGATGAACGCCCCCTACCACCACCATAGATCTAAAGGGATGCCACCGACGCACGCTGATTGGCCGAGTCTGGCGAGGGTGACTCACACATGACTCACGCATCACTGTATCGAAGAGAGATACCACCGCGCGGTGATTGGCGGAACCTGAAGAAAGGTCTGACTCACGCATGACTACGCAGAGGCTCGCGCATTGCAAACGTGAAATAGGATAATACTATAGAGCAAAACCGCGTCGGATTACATAAACACACAAACCTTAACTTCTGAGAATATTTTATTTCGTTTTAAATGTATACATAAATTTAGTAAGGTTTTTTTAATATTCCTGTAAGGTAATATCGTGACAATATTTTTAATATTTGCTTGGGCTCGTCTCATGATGTCAGATTTCTCTATCCTCTCTAAGTCGCCGTCTTAACTTCATGACTAGCATCGTCTATTTTCCCATACGCCCATCGTCTGAACTGACTCTCTTCTACGATGACATCATCTGATTCATCCTCTGAATTCTCTTCCATATCAGTGCCACCAGACCAGTGCACCAGTATCGCACATGTTGTTGCTCCAATTGCCCATCATCTGAGTCACTGTCTTGGACGAATCAGATGATGTAATTGTAAAAGAGATCGATTCAGTTGATGTGTATCGGGGCAGCCAGACGATTTCGGTCATGAAGACGACGATTTAGAGATTAGATAAATCCCACATGCAGACGAGCCCAAGCAAATATTAAAATAATTGTCACAAATTACCTTACAAAACCTTACTAATTATATGTATACGTTTAAAACGTAATTGAAACTATTCTAACAAGTTAATTATCTGTGTGTTTATGTAATCCGCGGCTTCGCTACATAGTATTATTTTCAGTTTCACGGCGTTTGCAATGCGTGAGCCTGCGTGAGACATGCGTGAGTGACACCGTTTGCTGTGCGCGAGTCACAGTGTTTCGGCAGACTCGGCGAATCAGCGCGCGGCGACACCCTTTGATGCGCTATAATGCTGGAGGGGAAGGGTGGGGGGAGTGTCATCAACTAAAAAATGTTTCAGATTAGAATAAATTCCTGTATCCACGTTGTACATTTTAGCAATTTAGCCATTGTCTAACGTTTTCGTTAAAATATAAAACGACTATTTTGCTATTTCTAAAGGTTTCTATTTCTATTTTACTATAACCTATAGCTAGGCTTAGCACAGAATATTTGGCATGTAGGATCACACCTGACACCTGTCATGCTAGCCCCCTTAGTGGTGTTACATGTAAAAGCTGGGAACTAAGGTTGGGTTTTGCTTAAATTTTCAACTAAAATCATTCTTCATTTCTTGATAAGATTCCTGCAAGCCAGTTGATGTCAACTTTGGTGGTATGAGTGTCACATTCAATTTGTTTGTGATGTTGGCGATGCTACTTGGAACATTTCTGTTCTAATTCCACGAGAGGATCAACATTTTTCAAACTTTTTTCACTTTAAATTTTAAGACAAATATATGTCATTTTTGTTGGTGTTTCTTAGCAAGCTATAGTAATAAAAAGCACTCGTATTATATTGATACATATAATTTATTTAGTGGAGACAGTGAAATATTATAGAAGTGACACTCAATAAAACGGATTGGTTAAGGTGATTCATCAGTTTTGCATTGCGCACTTTTACTGTGCATAGTTAATAACAAATTCTAGCTAATACATGTAGTAGAACTGCAATGTGAAGTGATAAAGAAAGAATAAGGGCAAAGAGAAAATTTTTTTGCATTGATTAGGCGTGCTTCAAAAGATATATACCTTGCAAAAGACAGAACTCGATAATTTTGCATGTTTAACCCTTGTATCTCTTTAAGAATGTCCATGACCCTACTTTCTTATTTTATATTTTTGTTCTTCTATACCTTTTACATGTCATATCAGAAAATAAGATGAAAATCATTTCTACAACTTGGTCAGGCAGTTACAGCAGAGAGAGCAGGTTACAGCATTCAAGTGTTAATTATTGCAATGCTTTAATTTCGATCTCCTGATCTTAATCAGCATATATTATTAGCACTATCACGAAAACCAAACATGAGATCGAAAGATTTGCAATAGCAAATTAAATACATGGTGTTTCACAAACCAAACCAAACACTATCGCCAATATAGTCAAGTTTAAAATTGCACTCAGGTCCGATCAAAAACAGAACTGTGTGATTTGTTCTCTCTGCCCCCCCCCCCAATGAAAGTAATTTAAAGTCCTACTCTACACCCAGCCAACATCCAGTCAAGCGTGAGATTCATCACACGAATTTGCATAAACACTGGGATGATAATTTCATGTCCAACATGCACGAATAATTAATTTAATTTAACCCTGCAGGTTCATACTTACTGGATGTAAACTCACAATGGAATTTACCCCCACCCTTTTATTCGTACATATTCCTCAGCTCCTCACGATAGCTCTATATAACGGACTAAGCTGAACAATTCATATAAATGTTCGTGTATGAAGAACAAACTATACAATTTGAAGATTAACTGTTCAGAAAGAATACAAACTATTAATGTATTAATTAAACATATTTACGTAACACGTTTTCAGTATTCTAAAACACAGGGTTTATTATTTTTAACGTGCAGTTCTACACAAAATATGCAGTTCTAAACCCATTTGTGCAGTTCTTATTTAATTAAAAACACAAATGTGCAGTCACCAAACTAACAAAAATAACCTTAATTATAACAGTCTTCTCATTTACTTGTTACCCTTGTGGATGCTCCAGAAAATCCAGAAATGGTGTCATTAATTGAGCATCAAAAATATAAACGTTTTCTGGCGGAGGACTCCAGACCCTCCTATTTTCCTCACAAATCACTTACGTTCTGGGGTAATGGAAAAGAAGGTAAAATTGGGGCGAGCGAAGCTCTCCAAAATAGATTAGAGTGGGAGAACATAATATTCTTTGCTGCCTCAAATGCGAATATAAGGTTGTTATATATTGAATATCCATGATTCCCAGTTACATGTTTTGAAATAGTTTTTGTGAGTGGTTGGGTAAAACAAATCTTTGCCAGAACTCAAGAGCCTCTAGATTCAAATTGTTTTGGGAAACACCCCCTAGCTCCCGCACCCAAAATCGAGTTTGTCTGGCCTTTCTTCAATTCTCCTACCCAACCACACCATTATTCTATCACCTATATGCAGGTAAAAAATCCTTCGACCCCCCCCCCCCAGTCAAACGCCCATTGCTTTCGTAACATCCCTATATGTGCAATTCTAAATTTTTCTTAAAATTAAACCCTGCTAAAACATTTATTGTATGCCAAACGTGCATGACACAAAACTCATTAGGAATCTTTTTTGTAGACAGCGGACACCTTCATAAAACGGATACTATTAAAGCTTCGGTAGCAACTTGTCTGTTATATTTGCATGGAAGTTCCACAAGACTCGTGCATGGCCGGCGCAAGCCCAGTTTTCGTGGGGGTGGGGGATTGTAACTCACAATTTGCCGAGTCATTTCCCCGAAATTCTTGGAGACGGGAGTGGGCGTAAGCTGGTGGCGATGGTACTAATTACGCTGAATCCGCTCGGCTATATTTACACTCGGGTATGTGAGAACATCGTGAAGTGCAAAGGCATCCTCATGTCATGGACGTTGGACCAGGGCGTTGTAAACCGTTTTTCCCACCGTCAAAACAATTTTGCCGGACATCATAAATATAGTTCAGTTTTACCGATATTTCGAATGCACGTACCGATCCTCTTTTATAGTTTTCCTTATTCTTTCTTTATTGAGGTAGAAATTTCACTTTATAAAAGTTTTATACAAATATTTTATTTTCATGCATTCCTTCATATCGAATTCATGTTATGCCGACTGCAAGAAAACCATTTGCCACACCCCCCTGTGGCGCCCCCTCCCCGACCGTACTAGTTCAAATTCTGATCGAGTAGACGCTACGTGAAACGTCAGCGCATACAGCAAGGGTACTGGATTGGGTGTACTCCATGCCAAAACCTGGATGCGCAAAGCCTGGATGGAAAGTGGGATCCTTGAAGAAATTTTAAGAAACCTGAATACCCGATAGTTATAAGAAGAGAGAATAGCAACATTCTTTTGTTCATAGACAATGAACCATGTCATCCTGAAGATCTTGGCGACAAGTTCTCGCAGATAAGAATTTTGTTTTTGCCCAAAACTGAATGCCACAATACATCTCATTAATTTGCAGCCACTCGATCTCGGGATTGTGCCGGTATTTATACTCAAGTATTGCAGGAAACTTTTCGCACATGTGATCAGCAAGGTGTATGAGTGCAGCTCTGCAACCGAAGTATGCAACTCTCGGCGGTAGATATTTTACAAGCTATAAGATGGTCTGCTATGGCATGGAATGATACTCCCAAATCCACAATTAATTGTTGTTTCATAAAGGCAGGAATCTTAAAATTTTGAAGCTGGGCGACACAAATCAACGGTGACCTACACTGCGAAAAACGACCAGCCTGTAACAATGTTGTTGAAAACAGGCCTGAACAATATTTTGCTGCCCATATTGTTCTTGGATGTTAACAATATTGTTCTGAATCAGCATTCTTCATGCAGGCTGAACAATGCTGAACATGTCAATATTGTTAACAACCAGGAACAATATGGGCAGCAAAATATTGCATGTTCAAGCTTATATAGCTTGTTTTCATCAACATTGTTACAGGCTGGGCCTTTTTTGATGCGTAGTCCTTTGGCCGATAGTAATATCAAAAACTGTTGAAGAATGAAGACCTGGCAAAATAGAGAAACAAGCGGAACAGACGTGATTTCAATTAAGGAAACGGCATGCAGCAAGCTTAGCTTCTTTCACCTATCGACTTGCTGAGAGCTTCCAGACAAGTGGGTAGACATGCAATATTTCGCAATGTTGGCCAGGCTCAAGAATTAAAAACAACGACAATGATGCAAATGCAGATGATAACATTCAAGGACTTACCACCACACCTACGGTCGCAAAGCTGACCTCGTATTGTGAGACAATATCTAATTGTCTTGATACTTTGTACGTGTTTGTTATTTAGTGAAAGGGGGAACTCTCACACAGCAGATTCTCTTTTATAGGAGTGAATTCCCACGCTCAAAGCGATTGCAAGGCTGGTCGGAACGCAGGACAAACCAGTCGAAGGTCACAGTGAACACTCGACAGATTTGTATTGAAGAATGTACTAGTCAGTACATAAATCAGTAGATAAAGTCACACCTGCGTTTTCAGAACGATAATAAGTCTATTCTGTTTCACAGTTGTGACGGTTTATTAGCCAATTTTAAAAGGAAGTAAAGAACTGTATGTACTGATATCTTTACACCGATTTTACTAAAGAGAACAATTAATCAGGAAGTGCGATTCTGATATACTAACATGAGGGTGGTAAAGGGTATTTTCGTGAGCCGTGAATGGTCAATATTTGTTCACGTGAAATGTGAAATCGGCTTGATTTTAGTGTCGTGAAATGTGATGTGTTCTACAGCCGTGAGGCGTGATTGTAAATAAAAATGCTCCGTGAAATGAGAATTAAGGATGTCTGTTTCGTGAACTGTGATTTTGCTTTGTTTATTTCGATCTATTTCACAATAGTCATAATAGACATGATACGCGATAATCAATTTATATGATCTCACTGCACAAGAGTAAAACTTCGGAGGTCGTCGGACATACTCGTCACTCAAACTTGTAAGTTGTGATGTAGTTTTTAACTGACAGGTAGAGAAGTGAGTGAATTTAGTGAAGTGGAGATACTGTACCATGCATTAAATATACTCTTACTAAACCTATTATTATTATATTATTTTATTAGAATCTAGTTTTCCGTGAAATTGCTTTTTTAAGACACGTGAATCGTTAAACGGCTTTTTTTTCCGTTGTGAAACGTGATCCATCCCCCCTTTCCCACCCTCTAACATGACGACTCGTCGACTCAGTTATGAAGCACCTTGATGACTGTTTAATGGATTCCACGGCCTTAATTGTTTAAAATTTGTAGAATTCCGTCGTAGAATAAAATAATGTGCTCTTCCTAGACAGGGTTCGTAGCGATCTTTGAAATCCTTGAAAGTCTTTAAATTTGAATGCAGGTCTTTAAGGACAAGTCTTTGAAAAGTCTTTGAATTGTGTGAAAAAGCGAAGAAAGTTTTTAAAAGTCTTTAAATTCTTTAGTGAGTATTTGATTATACGATTTCCTAGCTAATAAAATAGATTGATTGAAGCAACTATAAATCAACGAAAAGTTAAGGCGCATAATTTTAGGATGTGATTTGACGGGACTAATTACCGGGTAAAAATGGTACTTACACTCGCATTGATGACAGCTGAATGCTCTCAAAGGTCTTTGAAAAGTCCTTGAAAATAGGCTGAGACTGATCTTTGAAAGTCTTTGAATTTTTTTGGTCTTGGAGACTACGAATCCTGCTAGAGCTAGACTTGCTCCAAGTCTCTTTTTCATTTGTCTCTTTTAGTGTACATTACATGACGTAGCACGGAGAGGTGGAGCGAGAAAGAGAGACTTGTCAACTTCGGAAAATCTCGGTTCAAAACTGAACCGAAAATGCAAGACTTGCTTTAATTGTTTTCCTTCAATTTCTTTCTGTATAATTTACTATAATGGAACTCGTGTTATTTACACTGTGCTAGATCAATACACATAAACACTGACAGAAAACAATTAAAGCAAGTCTTGCATTTTCGGTTCAGTTTTGAACCGAGATTTTCCGAAGTTGACAAGTCTCTCATTCTCGCCTCGCCCCTCGGTACTACGTCATGTAATGTACACTATAGTGGATCGATACTATATGACAATGAAAGAGAGACTTGGAACAAGTCTATGCTAGAGCGCGATATGGGATTCGAGCTAAGGGAGTGTTCATTATTTATGCCCGGGGTTGGTAACGAAGAGAAATGGGTTGGGTAAGCCATTTTTCTGGGGTATGAAGGGTTGGGTAGATATTTTTTGAACAAAGACTATATGGTTGGGTAAATTATTTTCAATACAAATCTTCAATTGAACAAAATATGAAAATCCTTTATTAACAAAATGGGTCATTCCAGGGAATATCCATTCATTCTCCACAAAGAAAACTAAACTCCAACTCCCCATCCCCTCTGATTACAACAACGAGATATGGTAGGACTGCAGGAACTTGGAGGCTTGGGAACATAATATGAACTTGTGAAGGTACAAATGATTATATTTGACATTCAGTTAGTGCATATATGCACCAAATATGTACAGTACTGTTTATACTATAGTGGCCTAGCTTGTATAATAATATATATGAAATTGGGTTGGGTAAATTAAAAATCCAAGTCATGCAATAGTTGGGTAGGGAAAAAAATGGTTGATCGAAAGGGTGGGTGGTTGTTTTTTCTCTTTTCGATTAGTTTCTCTTCGGTACCAACCCCGGGTATAAATAATGAACACTCCCTAATCGAGAAGCTATAGGCAGTTGAACCTGATGTGTCAACAAGATCGTGACATGATTTAAATCTTAAATTATAAACCTCGTTCAAAAATCTGACACAATTAACAAAAGAAACTCATTGTGCCAATTTGCCGAAACCCAGGATTGAACCAGCGCCCTTCACATCTTCAGTCTGACGCTCTCGAATCTGAGCTATTTCGGCAGTCTGATTTCGAGAACTTCGAGCTGCATGTCTTTGTCTTTTTCAAATATGTCAGATTTGGATTGGATTAGGTTCAGACTAAGATTAGATTAGGATTAGCGGTTAGGGTTTAGAGGTTAGGGTGGGGGTTTGGGTGGGGGTTAGGTTTAAAATTAAGGCAATGTCTTAATTTGAACGCTTTTTACAAATAAGACATAGCCTTAATTTTCGGAAGAGTTCGAGCTGCTTCTGTTGAATTCGAACTTGTTTTTTTTTAAAATCTGATTTAGATTTTTTTTATTATGTGTTTTTTTAAATATACTCGATCGCAAGCGTAACCTTTTGGCCTTTATAATATTGAAAGAGCAACTACGATTCCACAAACTAACAAAACTTCCTGATCACTGTCAGATCATGATTCAGATCGGGTGATCATATTTTAAAAAGGTACGTTTTTACATATTTTTTGGATTGGTTTTTATTTTCATACATGACTTATTCTTGAGAGTTGAGACGAATAGAGAATTGGTATTAGTATTTCGCGATAACAATTTGCAATAGTATTTACAAATAAACCACTATTTATCATCAATATTTACATATTTATTTGAATACATGTAGCTTCATAATTGTTAGTATAACATTTTATAATTTAAAATAGTAAATAATTTTATATTTTAACATGCAAACACGAACTGTACAGGATAAGGCGATTTTAAAAATCGTAAAATGTTCAGTATGTTCCATCAAACATGAATTGTCTACTGGTTTTTAAATAGGATTGTCTTGGATACTATTTTTCTAATGTCTTCTCCTCTAACCTTTGGAGTTGTTTCCTTTGCTAGGTGCATGGTGCATTCTTATATTTAAGAAGCATTTGGCGATGCATTTTATCAGCCTGAAGAGATGGTTGTTGTCAGGAGAGTTGTCAAACATGTGATCATGGAGAGATGAAAATGCATTTTTCTTGACAGCTTCTTCCAAGACCACTGATGAAATTGCTGAGACAATCTTTGATGATGTGAGTAAGTTTCCCCTTGTTGAATGAAGCATTCTTACCACACATTGCTCTGTGCTTTGGCAAATTTGGTAAACACTTGCAGAAGCTTCAATTAGTCCTCCATGGTTTTTCTGTCTCACCAATGAGTTAAACTTAGTGTTGTTTGGATCTTTCTCCACGAGAGCATCAATGCAAGATTCGCAAGTTACTGACCGTTTTACCATTCTAACCACATAACCTGCAATGTAACCAACAGCTGCTTCTTTGTAAGAACTTAAATAGTTAAAATTTGGAGCATCCACATAATCATGATCTGTTTGTTGTGGTTCTAGGCGTACATTTAGGTCATATCTTCGGATGGTTGTTATGTCAGAAACATCAATATCAGCATTAACATGGTTGATGGTTGTGGTATCTTTTACAGCATGTAGAATGTTTGTAGCATCTAATGCTGTACAATTTCCTGATGCATTGACTTCGTGACGTAGGAGCAGGCGTTTGTAGGCAGCCATGAATTGTGTTGCTGTCGGATAATTGTTCCAACCTCCTAACGAGCGTATTGCTGCAAAGAATAACTCGAAGTGATCTTGACTTAGTTTATATGTTAACAGGTATGTCATATAGAAACATTAATTTGTGTTTCTGACTAACTCGTTGAACAGACATTCGATACTCTTGATAGCAACAAGAAAACCTAGGAAGGGAGTTTTTCGCTTTGTCTTCACCATTGGTGTACCACAGGAGTCGGTGAGAGTACTAATGTATTGCATTGCTTCTGTTAGGAATGGTTGCCATGCTTGCTTGTTTGACTCTCGTAGTGGGCTTTTGTAATGCTTTCCATAGGGATTTCTAGAGTTAAAAATGTCAAACAGATAGTCAAATATTCTGATAAACTTGACAGTTGGTGCAGAATCATAAAAGGTAGGAATCTCTAAGGCCAGATCACAAAATTCTGTAGCATCTGCCACACTTGCACTGATTGTTTGGGCTGCCAAGTTATAAACCTTCATTTTCTGCTTTGCTTACTGAATATGTGCCCCTCTGAGCTTATTTCCAAGTCGTAGCCCTTCCTCATCCTGGATCTTGTGCAGTTCTTCAATCAGTTCCCACCGAATATTGCCACCATTTCCATCAGTAATATTTTTTTGTGTTGCCAGGGTGTTACGTACCAGTTTCAGCATGTGGCATACATCAAGAACAACATGGATCTTTTGGTTTGAATCAGCTGGGTGTACAAAAGATGGATCCAAGTCATCAACATCTAGCTTAGCACCAAGCAACTTTATCATAGATTGGTTGCAGCTTGGACCATCACATGTCGGTGACACTGTTTTTACTCCAACCTCACTCAACTTCAACAGGCATGTTTTCACAAGATTTGCTCTTTCTGATGCTGACAGACCATCAATTAGGAAGTATCCTAAAGGTACTTTCCAGTTGCTGTTTAGTGATACAGCCATAAATACGAAGGCTTCACTTGCCAATGGTGAAGAGTCGTCGCCATCATCTATACCATTCCCAATATCTGTAAAGCCTACGTATTTATGTCCATCCCATTCCAAATGCTTTCTTGATTGCCATCTCATCAATCATCAGGCCACAGAGAACATCATCACCCCTCTTTGTTGCATCTTTTACTTTCATTGAAAGGGCACGGAAAACTTCCTGTGTGAACCCAGACTTACCTTTGATGGTTTGGTACCATCTCCGTATTGTGCTTGAATGGGTAGCGCAAGGTGGAATGTGCGTCTTACGTAGTTATAGGCCTTGGTGGAATAAAATTGCAAGGTGGTCGCAAATGCCTTGAGCACTTCTGGGTATTTTGATTTCGATATATTCTTCGACTTGTTTCTTACAGCCTTTCTCATTAGCTCATCTGGCACACCCATGCATGTCCCTTCAAGAATAGATGCACATTTTTCTGATATCAAACCATTATTTTGAAGTGCTTTCACCACATCATTCAATGACTGAACCTTCTTTTTGAGTCGTCGTGATTTTTGTTGGGTCACCTTCAATTTTTCTTCAGGTTTTCAACTCTATATAAGCCTCATCCAATTTTCTTTTCATGGTAGTGGTATTTGGACTTGATGTAACATGAAATTCATGATCAGACGCATTAGGAGGTTCAGTTGAAAATGGATGTTGCTGTGGTTCATTGTTTTCGAGGGTTGATATCTGAATTAAAGTTGTTTAAATATTAAATCATTAACTCAATATAATTTTAATCTAGTAATAAGTTTTACCAGTTCTGCATGTCGAAACAGGAATCTTCAAAATGATCTGGGCAAATTACAGACGTTTTTGTGGGATACCAGTTTGCTCTGCCCAGGCTAGAAATCCACAACTGTAATAGCTATGGCCGACTGAATGGAAACCTGCAAAAAATGAACTATTATACAGCTTTTATGGCTATTTTGATATGGAGTCAAGTTAATGATATAAACAGCAGCCACTTCTTATGAATGCTGCAATATTCATGTTCTTTAAACAAGTTTAAACGAAAATTCACTAGTGAAACATGGCAATAAAATAGGTATTATTCAGATCAGTGGGACAAACTGAGAGTGGTGACAATGATTGGCTAAGATGAAGATTTTGTTTTTCTTATAACACGTCACAATTTGTCACAAGAACAGGTTTTGCAATTTGCAACTTGCAAAAGTCAAAAGTGCGACGAAATTTTCAAAACTTTCGAAGTTTTACGAAATTTTGTAAAGAAATATTCGCCAATATGTAATAGAACCAGGGACCGAGGGACGTGCTGGGGTTTTGAAAAGGACGACGAATGAGCAACATCTGATGGGGCCCAGGCCCATTAATGTACCGTAATTTGTTAAATTTTTCGCTAACATTTTCGTAAATTTAGATTTTTAAAATATAAATTGTAATATCTTGATCTTTGAATTTCAAAATTAAGATCTATATTTTTTATCTTTTCCAATGTTTTAATTTTAGGGGCAACATGACGGCAGGGGCCCACAGCAAGTTCTTGTCGGCTCGTCCCTAGCTGCCTAGCCAGCACGTCTCTGAACAGAACAACGACAATTTAAAAAAGAAAATGCTGAGTGGTGAGAATAGAAAGCAGCAAGATTTTATGAAGAAGATAAACGTGCATTAAGGCTGGCGAAACCCTGGCGAAACGAAGGGAAAAGAGTCGAAAACTCGTCAAAAGTGCTGGTGAAAAAAAAACACGCCAGAGAATAAGCAGTATCGGTTGGCAAAGCTTAATAGCTGCCTATGTCTAGGGATTTTGCTGAGAATGGAAAAAGGCCAGAGAATTTTAATTCGTTGCTGTCAAGTGTCAAACGTGGTGCATGTATTTCTAGTTCAGTTCTATTGAGCCACCTTTGACTACGTACACTAGAGTCTAGAGTAGAGCAAAAGCTTCCGTATTCGTAAAAGCATCCAGGATTTGTTATGACTAATTATGTTGCTGTTTTATTCATTTTGTCTTCCTTACCAGCAATACACAACTTGCATTAAGTATAATTTTAGCCTGCGTAGCTGGCGGTTTTAAGGGTTGGGGTTGAGGCGCGGGCAACGAAAATTAGGGAGGCGAGGCGCGGGAAGGGAAAACCCAAAAACCGCCTGCCACGCAGGCTAGTATAATTTATAACCGCATGTTAGGCTACTGTTGTTATGCGATGTTTTGACTCTAAATATTTAATAGCGATAAATTTGAAAAACATGCGCGGGAGCGATATTTGATTTGGATTTCTTCACAGACGAACTCGTTTGCACGAGAATTTTTTCCGGATAATAGTCTGTGTTCATTTTGTATCGGATTCATGCTCATTTGTGTAAACGGCAAAACGAATCCGATATAATATAAAAATACTCCAGATTCGTAACGAATGCGAAAACATTTAGATCCCGATTTTAATTCACGATCGATAATTTTCGCGCCGATCGACAAATCACATCGCTCAGCAGGTGACACTTGTGCCCGAAGATATGCACTCGAGGTTTGATTGTTTAAATCACAATTTTTCACGTGATCAACGCATGACGAGTTTCTTGAACAAGTGGATAATTAATATGGATTGAAACTCGCTTTTTTTATTTAAAACTTTGCTTCCATCTTTAAACCCAATGAAATGGAGTATGTGGCTTAGATAAACACGCCAATTTTACATCTTTTTGGCAAGATTTGACCAAGATTGATCCAGACATCCTGACGTACGTAAGTGTGAAAATAAATATTCAATTTCATGATATCAATATAGTTTGATATAAAATTTATTTTGTTGCTTTGTCGTAGGAAAATTGAGACATTTACAGGGAATATCAACAGGTAGCTTTGTTCTCGTTAGAAATCGTACCGGGAATGAACCAAGGCAACGAAAGCATTGAGATCTCTAGCCCTCGTATTCGTTTGAAGAAGAACAGAATACCATTGGGCATAAAGTTTCTGTTATGGATTCAAAAGGATCGAGATAAATTGTAAGTAGATTGCCAAGTTGGATCAAAAATAATTTTTAATACAGGAAAATATTCTTAAATTACTATTAAAAAAATAAAAAATCGAATTTTATCAGTATTTAATTTAAAGATATATTTTGAATGTTGTAGTTTCAAATATTATTTCAATATTATTGGTGTATCACTGTAACTTCATGGCTATTCATAGCCCTTTATTTATATATAATATTATGTATGAAATACAGAGTGAAAAAATGTATCATAGAAATACTCAATGGTTGTTTGATTGTAATGTCATACTATATCTGTAAACAAAGCTTATCTATATAATTGCAATATGCCAGCCCATGGCAAAGGTCAACAAAGGCTGTACATGATATCGGATCTGGAATTTGTGTGTCTAAATTTCCGAATTTAGTGTTTGATTGTAGGGGTTAAAAACAGGGTGTCCACAGGCGTTGAAAATCCTGGAAAGTTCTTGAATTGGAAAAAAATTCCAGAACTGGAAAGTCCTTGAAAATCAGTGGAAGTCCTTGAACGTCCTGGAATTAATTTCCTTAACCTCCAGCTGTGCCAACATTGGTGATTTTGATTAAAATAACTGAATAAAATGAATTATTATATGGCTTTTCAAAATTCTCTATTCTGATTGGTTGACAAGTGGTCTGTAAAAACCCATATCCGGACCGTGGTCCGTATTTTCCATATCTGGACTGGTGTCCCAGATGTTGTTTATCTGTCGGGAAATTTTTGCTTTGCAAACAGAAAAATGTTTTGCTTTTTAATTTTCCAACTGTGTGTCATTAAAATTTACAGATAAAAAATTCAAACAACCAAATTGTTTTTGATTGAGAATGCATGCCTACTGTATATTGTTACCCAGTGAAACTGACGATAGCCGATTTAATTTGTGCGAAAAGCATATGCTTGCAAACTCAGTTCAGCCGTATAATAAACTGATTATTGACCTCGCTTGTTCGGTCTGTACTGTGAAATATCAGACCTCTGTTTCTTGCATGGACTTCGCTCCTTCGTCACTCGGTCCATACTAAAAAACCTTGGTCTGATATTTCACAGAACAGACCTCACGCTCGGTCAATAAGCCGTTATTATTTGCTGGGCAAATCTGTGCTATCAGTATATTCTAGGTCCTTGAATATACTGATAAAGGGCCATGAAAGTCTTGGAAAAGTCCTCGAATTTCACCTTCACCAAATTACGGTGGACACCTTGTGAAAATGCTTCTGAAATGCTCTATGTGGTTGTAGATCCAATAACTAATTAGTTTGCATATGTTTCATTAAAGATGAGCCTTACTTATTTTCTCTAACAAAGCCCAGTGAAATATTCAAAATCTTATTGTTGTTGAACACATTATTCTGAACATGTGTAGTGCTTCTTTGTCAGCAGCTAAAGTATCTTACTGGGCTAGCCCGCTTGTAAGTGTTAATTTATATGGAGAGATTTTCATTGCAGTAAGCGAGATCTCTGCAACTGGGCCAGCCTGCTTGTCCATATACTGTAAACGATCAGTAATTTTCAGTATAAAAATAACTGCACAGTCACAGTGAGATCTCGCTTACCGGGCTGTCTCACCAAGTGGGCTAGCCTGACTTGCATATAAACAACACCCCTAAAAGCTTGCAGAGTATATTATTTTATTTAATGTTAATTGCCTTGTTTCTAGATACCGTGCTCATATTTTTGTTATTACATTCATTGCTTACGCATCATACCATCTGTCAAGAAAACCAATCTCAGTTGTCAAGGTTAGAATTGTTTAAATTTCTGTATTCCGTTTTAAAACAACATTCTTTCACCAATGTCTTTCTGTTAATATGATATTATTTTCAGGGCCGCCGTCAAGTTGTATAGGACCTGAGTGGGGCAAAACATTTCCAGGGCACCTTATAACATCATAAATTGTAAAATCACTATGGGAGAAACAGGTCAACTGTTAGGCTGCTGGCTGTTTGAAGTTAGGACAATTTCTTATTTGACAGTGCATTAAAATTGAAGCATGTAATAGCTAAAACATTTTGTCAAAAGCTTTGGAAACCTGTAGATTTGAACTTACCTTCAAATGCAATTTGAAATTGGTTTAATGTGACTAGCGATCTCAACTGCAAACGTCAATTTTAACATTACTGCTGATTCTGTACTGACATACTCTGAGCTGATTTATGAAGGACGCGGCTCAACCTGATTGAGTCCAAGGATTTTTAAGGGCACCTCTGGCAGTGACCTTATGATTCATGTACAATGATCATGGAGAACAGCTGGAAGCGTGTGGTTGGGTACCGAGGACAGCTGGAAGGGTGAGTTTGGGGCTTATCCCAGCCCACCCTGTCAACATTTCCTATGGGAGGAAACCGGAGTAAGTCTTGACTGACTCTTTATGAGTCCGCAGTGAGAATCGAACCTACGGTCTCAGAGGATGAAAGGCACATCATGTACTATATGCTCTGACGACTTTTAATAATGCTGTATCAATCCTGTTATAATTATCATTAATACTGTACCAACTATCCTCTGTTATTGAATTTTAGGACACTTTAAATGCAAACTGTACAGTGAATTCCACCTGTCATGCCTGGGCACCATTTGGTGAGTTACTCTAAATTGTTGTATATTACTAGTTAATTATTCACTGTTAAAACATGGGCGGATTTACTGGGGGTTAAACCCCTCCTAGAATCTCTCTAACCCCTCTTATAAAGTGTTCAACCCCACCAAAATTTTGCTTCACCCTGTTGAAACTAACAGTGGTGCCGCTTGCACCCCCACCAGAAATTTTTCTACCCCTCCTTTAAAAAGAATGAAAATCCACCCTTGGTTAAAATGGAAGTGAATAGTAATTTACCGACACTGACTTACCATTATTTGATAACGAAACAAAAATGACCAAGAACAACTAAATTAAATCAAAATATTTTCAAAACAATTTTACTGTCCTGTACATTTCCCGTAATAGTTGGAAGCAAAACAGTAAGTCTGGAGGTGAGTAGTGCTAGGATATAGCCGGAGCTGAGCAACCAATCAAATTGTGCGAAAAGCATTATCGACTTCACAAGTATAACATATGCTAAATAATGTTGAATGTTGTCTAACTATTTTGTAACCGGAGCGAATAGATTTCAAGAGGGAAAACAAGCTAAAGTATGTAATGTACTGTATATTGTACAGTATACGTCGAATACCTTTCTGGTTCATACAGCTTCAGACTTAGCTAGAGTAAAGATTTTTTTCCTGGCAGCAAAATCCAAGAATAAATATTTCCTGGGTGAACCAACTGTTAAGCCCAGGTCACACTACACAACGATAACGATACGATAACTTGTATACGTGCGCTGATTGGTCAAAAATTTATCGTTATCGTTCGACTGAAAAAAAAATCGCTCAGGTGAGCGATTTTAAAATCGTTATCGTTATCGTCAAACGATAATTTTATCATTTTCGTTGTAGTGTTGACACTAACAAAATTTTTTTTGCCAATTATCGCGTGTTTACAATTTATCGTATCGTTATCGTTGTGTAGTGTGACCGGGCCTTTAGACTTTCTACATATGTACTGTACACACACAAAAAAATATGCAAACTTATTGTTACAGATCTGCAAACAAGTTACATTTTAACAAGATTGTTGTCAAACTGATAACAAACTTGTTCAGGTTCACACTGCTTGTTCCCAGTTGTTGTGACAAGTCTTAAACAAATTGCTATCACCTTGATTGAACTTTCAATTGATTGAACCACAGGCGGCCCAATCTCGCAAGGGTCAGTATAGACCATTGAGTATAGACTTATAGTATAAATGTATATTATATTATATTAATGTATATTATAGTAAAAATATGTCGTAAAATATAAATTTTAAAATGAAATTGACTTGCCTATTTGATAGTGTGTGTTCTCCTTTTATTCCTCCTTTGTTGGACTAATATTTTCCGAGACTTTGTACTCGATGTTACTAGTATACATGAAACATGATAAAGGCTAACGATTCCCGATCGTCGATACGACGGCACGGCACTTCGAATCGAAAATGCTCACACTCAAATCGCTTTATTCTCCAAAAAAATTCGCCAGCATGTACAACAAATGCCGTTCTTCGAAAATACGGAGGTACTTCGGCGAGATGTACAAGTTTTGGACCATATTTTAACAATGGAAATCAAAACCCCATTTTATATTGAACTTTCCCAGGCCGAAAATTACTACGGCGAACGTCTGCGCAACCAGGCCTCCTTTACCGTTGGATTTACAGGGGGGGAAGCAGATATTTCCGGTAACAGCCAGCCAATCGCGGCCGCGATAGCGACTGTTTACATTATTTGAAATTTGATATTCAAAATAAAAACTCCTTCGATCGGATACTGTATAAAACTCGATATTGTCGAAGAAACGAAAACTAAACGACGGAGATTGAAGAAATTTAAGGAAGAAGTAATATACAGCGGCTCTTTGTTGGAAAGCATGGTAGAATATGATACTTTAATTCGAAATATTATCGTGAATATATTAGTGGCATCCTCCCCCCTGTAAATCCAACGGTAAAGGAGGCCTGGTTGCGCAGACGTTCCCCGTAGTAATTTTCGGCCTGGGCAAGTTCAATATAAAATGGGTTTTGATTTCCATTGTTAAAATATGGTCCAACACTTGTACATCTCGCCGAAGTACCTCCGTATTTTCGAAGAACGGCATTTGTTGTACATGCTGGCGAATTTTTTTGGAGAATAAAGCGATTTGAGTGTGAAAATTTTCGGTTCGAAATGCCGTGCGGTCGTATCGACGATCGGGAATGGTTAGCCTTTATCATGTTTCATGTATACTAGTAACATCGAGTACAAGGTCTCGAAAAATATTAGTCCAACAAAGGAGGAATACAAGGAGAACACACACTATCAAATAGGCAAGTCAATTTCATTTTAAAATTTATATTTTATGACATATTTTTACTATAATATACAATTAATATAATATAAATTTATACTGTATAAAGTCTATACTGACCCTTGCGAGATTGGGCTGCCTGTGGTTGAATAAATGTTTATGTTGCATTGTGTGATTCGTTGTCTAAACGAATGTACTGAGGGTGTCAAAATTACCGTCGGACAATATAATGTCTGAATATTAATTCGAAATTTAACGATATTCACCCCTGCCGCAGATGGTTTGAATGCTTGTGAAAATGCCTACATTTTAGTGGGAGCTATATTCCTGTAGCTACAATATTGAGCGAGAAAACGTTGTCTAAACGACGGGATCAAAGTCACACAATGTAAACAAAACTTGAAACCAGAATTATAATTAGAAAGTTTAATGTAATGCAACATAAACATACGACTTTTAATCGACTATATCTGTGCGAATATTACAGCTACAATAATTTTACACATATTGTCAGATAGCTGGTGAATTCAGCTACATTTTGGTACGATCTATAGTATTGTAGCTAGAATATTGAGCGAGAATTCGTTGCCTAAACGAGGGTGTAAAAATTGCCGTCGGAATACATATTCTAGCTAGTCGGAATATATGTCTGGTTTTAGGCACAAGGTTCAACCGCTTATATTAATTCGAAATTTAACGACATACACCCCCAATGCGGATGGTTTGAAAGCTTGTGAAAATGCCTATATTTTAGTTGGATTTATATTCAGGTTAGTAGAAAATTCGCCGAGAAAATGTTCGCAACAAACTGTTGTTATGCCATGGAAATTCAAAAATATCTATTACATTTTCAAAATCTCGCCTTGCTGCGCATGTAAACACACGCATTTGAAGCTTTCAAAATATATAGTTATAAACCTTTAAAGACACAGTTGGAACAAAAACTTATTAAAATTGAAACGGCCTAGTTTGGAACTAATGATTTTCTTGAAAATCCGCCATTGTCCATTGATTTTGCGTCCTCGTTTCACCGACATCGTATATCAAAATCGAGCTTCAAATCAACAGTAATCATGCAGTATTGATAAATAGTATTCACTATAAAAACTAACCTTCACTGTGTTTCCTCCAGAATGTTAAAAAAATAGAATATCAGCCTTGGCAGCCTTGCACAAAATCCGATTTCTTGAGGTTGTTTATTAACAACTTAAACATTTGTAGTATCTACCTAATTTTTCTTGAAAGTAACTATTTAGAGCCTGGATGTACGTCTAGCAGTATTAAACACTAAACGTCTTAAACATTTATAGAAATTTCTTTAAATTAGAGTCACTATATTTGCTTTGTGCTCGCTAATTTGACTATTCAGCATGGTTCATACCTGGAGCAATTATTTAGTGCAAAGCAAAGCCTCCTCCGCCTTACGTAACTACGTGTATTTTAATATTGATTATTACATTCGTAATACCTGTTGTAATACCCTGTTGTAATTACCTTGTTGTTATATATTTTTGCGTTGGGATTTCCGTAAAATATATCGCGGGTAAGGCATCAGCACTAGCTCTGTGCATTTCGTATATTATGTTGCATTCATGCTGTTTTCATCCAGAAATCAACACCACCGTTAATGGTATTTTACTACGGGGAGAAAAAACCAGCACAATTCTCTATGACCTTGCATATACTAACTAAAATGAAATTACAATGCATTTTCGGCAAGCGGCTGAAACTCTAGCTGGAGTTTACCATGTACTAAGTCTATTAATTGTGTCTCCGAAATAACGAATTATGTTAGGGCAATGAAACAGTCCGCATTTTATCCTTTTTGTCCGCATTCGCATTTTAACCCTTTCGTCCGTCCGTCCGTCCGTCCGCGTCCGTCCGTCCGTCCGCGTCCGTCCGTCCGTCCGCGTCAGTCCGTCCGTCCGCGTGTCCGTCCGTCCGTCCGTCCGTCCGCGTGTCCGTCCGTCCGTACGCGTGTCCGTCCGTCCGTCCGCTTGTACGTCCGTCCGTCCGTCCGCGTGTCCGTCCGTCCGTCCGCGTGTCCGTCCGTCCGCATCCGCGTTTTATCCCAACCCCGTGCAAAGGGGCGATAGAAGCTTTTGCGACTGAAACCAGAGACTGAAACTATGATGATAAACTTTTCAACTGACAGTGGAAATAAATATATAGTCTGCGATGTTCTTCAAAAAAATATGGAATATAATCAACAGCAAAACTTGTGGAAGATCAAGATTCAAAGAGAAGAGACTAAACACTAACTGACAACAGTAAATATTTCTTTTCAGCTTGGAAGCGTGTTTTATAATATTTGTCGTTTGGGAGTCAATAATATACTGTCACTATACTGTCAGTGAAGAATTTGATTTGGGACTTTGATGTACCTTTATGAAAAGATTACTACTGAATACAAATGTGCATGTAAAATGTGATTAGAACGTTTTAATATGAACAGTTGCACTGTCATTGACTCAATAAATTTTAATGTGGGACAAACATTAAAAAACATTAAAGTACTGTGCCAAGTGACAAAATTCCATGCCGACCATGGGTTACGTATGTATGCATTTTTATTAAACGTTTATACCAATATACACTATTTTAAACCTTTGTGTGTGAATTTTGTGTGTTGATTTTATGATATTTGACAACCATGAACATTAATAATATAATATATTAACAGCAAGTTTACAGTATATTGGGACTTTTAGCTTGGTTTTTCACTTTTTTGATACAACTATAGAATACCCACAACTTTCACACCTTACTGCTATTAATTCCTTGTAA